AGGGTGGGGGCAAGTGTGGGTGTTTCACCTACCCCACCCACAATTTTTGATGTTGTCGGGGCCGGGGCGTGAACCGGCGATCTTCAGATCACAAGCCCACCTCTCTAACCTCCCCACTCCCCTGGGGTTTGACCCTTGCCCTTTCACCTTACCTTGAATCTAACCAATCCTACCCAGCCTGACCCTCACCCCCACCTTGCCCGACCAGGCCTACAGAGCCCTAGGAGATTACAGAGCCCAGCATATCTCTCGGATGAGACCTGTGGTTTTCTTTTTCTTTTACTTAAAACTTCCGAGGTGTAGAATAATAGGTGCCTGGCAGTCCCCAATAAATAATTTTTTTTTTGAGAAAGTGGAACCCCACTCGGCCCTGTGATGGACTTGCGACCCATCCAGGGTGTACCCCGCCCCTCGCACAGTGATTGCTGGACATGGGCACCAGTGACCCCCGTGACCCAAAATGGAATAAACGGGTAAAGATAATGGATGGATGGATGGAACCCCACTCTTTCCTGTGGCGTCCCACAGGGCTCGATTCTTGGACCCCTTCTATTTTCACTCTATCTGCTGCCTTTGGGATCTATCCTGAGGAAACATGGCATTTCATTCCAGTATTATGCTGATAATTGTCAGATTTATTTGCCCTTAAAACAGTTCCTCCTCCATTCTCCCTCTGTTAAAATGTCTTGATGACATCAAGGTATGGATGTCTTCATTAATATCATCTTGTCTTACAAAATTCTAGAATTAAAGCCTTTTGGACAAACCCTGACATTTTTAAGCTCAAACTCGTGGAATATTGCAAAGCTCTGCTACTACCACATGAAACCATACCTCAATATTTGTAAAACTGACTGAGGTACAGCTATTTTAGTGCTGGCTAATGTTGATTAGATTTGGTGGCCATCTTGAATTCATCGGTTCATCTGATTCATTAGTTGGAAATGTTCATCCAATGATTACAATCCAAGTCCATTAAAACTCATTCAGTGGGTTCATGAAATATTAAGTTACCAGGAAGCCAAACAAAGACAGTAAATTAAAGTACAGTACAGTAAAGTAAAGTGCAGAAGCAGCACCTGAAACAGCTGCGGTGATAAACCCTCCCATCACTCAGCCGTCTCTGTATGAGGTGGACGGGCTTAAAACACGAAGCACACACCACCTCGCTCCTCAGCGGAGGGAATCGTTCCTTACTGCTGGTTTCCAGATCAGCTGAGCTCTGAAAGGAGAAGAGAAACCAGTGGCTCCGATGAACTACACAAAACCTGAGCTCCCAACGGTGAGAGAAAAACTGTTACCTTAAAGCTTTTCAGACCGTCTGAAGTTTTATTACTCTTTATGATGTGGAACGATCTCGACCTGGAGGGAAACGCTGCAAAGAAGAGAAGAAGGAAAACTGAGCGATGTCTGAAGGTCTCAGTCACATGATGCAAACGTTCATTCAGAACAGCTTGTTAAAAGATAAAAGATGACTTTATAGATGGTAATGAGTCAGAAACAGCACATCCTTCATCAGACTTTTACACACATCACCATTAAAAACACTGATTTGTAAATTAAATTGAATTAAGTGGCCAGGCCAGAACACTGTCTGGATAAAAGAAGGCACTGCAGAAGGAGAGCCTGATCCCAGCTGTAAAGCACGGCGGTGGAAGAGTCATGGTTTGGTCTGCTTTGCTCATCAGTATTTGGTAAGGGAGTCAGATTTCTGCATTTTCCAGCGGTTTTTACAGGAAATGTCAGGATATCTGCTTTTCAGCAGTCTCTGTGTGAAATATGAAGACGCTGTCAGTGCATCAAACAGTTGTTGCACCTAAAAAGATGCAGATTTTTGTTTCAGGAATCAGTCAGGATACGTCTGTGAGCTGAAATCTAAGCTTAAAGAGCTCCAAAAGTCTGACAGCTCATCATCCATGTCAGTATAAGTACAGCACTGTGCAAAAGTTTCGAACCATCTCTAATATTTTTCTTCCAAAACTCAGAAGCGCATCACTTAAAAGTTGTCTTGACTACTTGTTTTTCAGACCTCCTGAGGACCTTTCAAAGTTTGCTTTTAGATTTGACTAAATTTTCACTCAGTTTCAGTCCACTGCCTGACTGTGGCAGCATATTGTTCAGTTGTGATTCTAACAGTAAGGAAAGTGGACTAAAGAAGCTGTTTCACACATACAAACTCTCTCTAGCAAATGAGCAGCATCATGTAACATGTACAGGAAGCAGGGAGGCAGAAACCTGAAGGTCACTGGACTACAACTACCGGAAACACAGAATTGCAAGAAAATCTTTGGTACCTGAACTTGCTTATGTATGTACCAATGTAATCTGAATATTCCTGCAAATGAAGTGCAGATGTTTTTGTCACAACTACCATATTTTTCGGCCTATAAGTCACAGTTTTTTGCATAATTTACATGCCCAGTGACTTATACATGGAAGCAAACTTATTTATATTTTTCCCATATTTGTAAATCAATTTTTGGCTGAGATATGATGGTTTTCATTCATTCTGACTGAAAATATTGAACACTACCATTTTCAGCCACTAGATGGCACCAGAGTAGTATGGCACAATCGGCTTGCCATACCAAGCCACCTATCATCAAATCAGTTTCATTTTGCTGCACCGCTCTGGCAAAATGCAGCTAATTTGACCATTGAAGTGCATTTATTAAGTAAAAGTTCAACTGAGACACACCTTTACTATAAAGTCGAGCTAACAAATAATAGTTTTTAGGTGCTTATCGTGTTAAATTTGGAAGAAATGCATAGCAAGTCGTCCCTCTGCGCACACCCGCTTCCGCGTATCGACTTTTGAAATGCAGCTGATTTGACCGTCAAAGTGCATTTATTAAGCAAATGTTAGACTGAGACACACTTTTACTATAATTTCAAGCAAACAAATAATTGTTTTTAAGTGTTAATCTTGTAAAATTCTTGTTAAAGTCCTCCCGTGCACGCTCCAGTGGCCACCATTTGGCAGCCAATCGATTTTAGACAC